TTAAAACAATATTTTTCTTATAAGTAATTATAGCACTATGGATTTCAATACTAAGCTGTTCTTTTTGCCACTTTTAAGTCACTTTATCATTATACAAAAAACAATCCTCAGAGAAATATATAAACAACTTCGAAGAAGAACAACTACAAAGAAATTTATAGCCAAGGTCAAATAATGAAATCTAAGAGTGTTTTCCAACACTCATACAGGTATACAGGTGACACAGTATTACACTGCTCGACTGTAAAAAGCTAAGTACGAGCATGTAAAATATGTTAATGTTACCAACTTTTCAAAAAGTTATTTGATAGTTATTACTTATTTTGCAATAAAACCTTCAAAAATCATCAATTCTGAAAAAATTATAACTTAAGTCTAAATAAAAATCATAAATCTATTATTGATACGAAATATAATTATAAGAATGGAAGACTACAATGTATTCTGGTATTACACTATGAAACTAAATTGCATTTCAACAAGTATCTTACACAGTGGAATATAGTGTAATGTTCTGTGTCCTAATTGAAAAACAGCCTAAAATTGCTTGTTCTTTTGTGAAAAGACAATAAATTTTGTTATCTAACATTAAATATATATGTTATTATCCCCGAATCGAAGGATCAATTATTTTATTCGTATTGTTACATTCACACAAAAATAAAGAATTTTCTGTGCATCTGAACAGCTAATGTAGGCTCCGATGAACTTTTTTACATTTCACTGATAGATTCTTTCGAGCCTCATTCTATATATTTGTTTATATATGTTATTTTGTTGTTGTTTTTAACTTGAACTCTACTCAAATAGTGTACGTTTATATGTATATGTTGATATGTTCAATAAAATAATTATATCAGTAAAAAAATATGGTTTTATTTAAAAATTATAAGATTCTTCAAATTTTTGAGCGGTAGTATATAGTTTAGAATTCAATATGACTAATTGGTTGTTATATTAATTTAGGTTAATGGCCTGATTGACAGCTTGGTCGTAGGCTTGCGACAAGATCCAAATGGCACTCGACAACGATGTGCAGAATTTATGAATGCTTGCTCCTCCCATAGTATAGGACATTCCGATAAGATCTTCGAGACCGCTATTCTTGGATGCACATTAGACGATCAAAAGCGAGTCAAGAAAAGATTACAGGGATTGCTCGATTATATCGATAAGATGCACATCTTAGAGATGACACAGTAAATAATACCAAGAGGTTCCTCGGCAAATTAAATTTGTCTGAATTTTCATACGAGTCTCAAATGACAAATCTTTTCGACGGTCTAGCGCTGTTTAGCGAATTAAGAGACAATTGGGAAAGATATATTCTTTACAAAGATATATTCTTTTCTGCGCGGCTGAGTTTCCATTTTCCTTCCACGTTGCAAATAGATACTTTAAATGGAACACTTGGCTGTGTACAGAATGCAACAACATGTGATTGATTGGATTTAATCTTATAGTGACGCGATATCGATTCTCGACGTTTATACAATTCCTAAGCATATTTTAAGACACTTAGTATTTCAGCAACTTAGAAAAATAAAAAAAAGGGGGTTAAAAAAGCATTCGATAACATTTTTCAAATCTGTACGTTTAAAATAAAGAGGAATTTCTAGAGGATGTGTGCACTTATAAAATTTTAAATATTATTTGAGTGTTATGTTAACAAATACAAAGTAAATGGCCTCTTTACACTCACTCTAACATGATTTAGTTACTTTGTAAGCTATTGATTAGTTTCGAGTGTAACAAGAATGGTTAAATTATCTTATTTTATTGTCAAAAATAATTTGATTTTTTGAAGAATGATTTGAGAAATTCTATTAAGGAGAGATTCTGGTTTAGAAACTGATTTTTAGGCTATTTTCAAGAATTTTTTTCTGAAAAATTCTTAAAGTCTATACAAATCAGAATTGTTTCTACATATTAATACATATTTCAAAACTATCTTTCAGAATTTTTTAATTATAATTTTCCAAGAAATAAGCCTTATATAACAGTTTATGTAAAATCATGAAGAAAATAAGGCGCTGCACAGTGATTATGATTGCGGCTGTTCTACTCATCTGAAACAAAAAACTAAAGAGATTCTTAAAGCATATGTGTTTGGCTATCGTTTGATCTATAATAAAAAAAAATATTAGAAAGAAAAAAAATGGCGTCATTATGGATATTTTCCAATTTTTTCGAATGTTTTCATCTTTAAAGTAAAATAAATAAAAATAAATAAAAATAAACATTTTGACTTTACTATAGCTTAGACGAGAACTATATGCGTTAAAGATGTGCGCAATTGTTCAAATAGATTTTGAGAAATTATAGTCACTTCCTTATATAAACTTATTTCTTGGAAAATTACAATTAAAAAATTCTAAAAGATACTTGAAATATGTACTAATATGTAGGAACAACCCTGATTTGAATAAACTTTACGAATTTTTTAGAAAAAAATTCGTGAAAAATAGCTTAAAAATCAAGCTTCTAAACCAGAATCCTCCCTTAATTGTATCTTGAATACGATTAATTTAAATTTCTCTTTTCTTTATTCCTTGTTTATAACTCCTCTTCTTAAGATTTCGCTTATCAAAAATAATTTTACTCTTAGCAAAATGTACAGAGATTTTATTGTGTTCTGTAATATTACAATTAAGTAAAAATGTAACATTAGTTATTAAGTAACTTATTGTAACATACTATTGCTTTAGGAAACTGTAGTTCGCATCGACTTGTTCGTTCTTAAGGCTCCTATATTTTCGCTATAATTAAAATTGAATTATAACGTCAGAAGTAAAATACGTAAAAAAATTTCATATACTTTTTCACTTTTGACGTTTGAAATTCAATAGCTACATTAGATAAACAAAAGCCTTAAATCACAATACATGTTGAAATGCATTTTTACTTAATTTCAAAAAATTTAATTCAAAATGAATTTAATATTTTATAATATTTTATAAAATTGAGATGATCTTGAATTATTATATTTTGAAATAATATCGACGCGCTAATCTGTAAATAATAATAATAATTATTATTATTTAACGCTACATTTGTATTAAAATCTTAATTTTTTTATTTCATAATTTGGTCCGTGAATATAATGCAAGTTAAACATTAATAATTCATTAAACATATATACGATAATATGGCGAGATATTTACAAATTACGCGTCATATTTGTATCACTATTCCCATCCGCATTTTGCGAGTACGCACAGTTGTATATTTTACGATTAATCTTCCATACCTTATAATCTACAACCATTTGGTTAACATTATGAGCATAATTATGGTGATTATTCCTATTGCGTTTAAATTAATGAGTTCCCAAATGTTATGCGTACTGTGTTCTTATACACGAAACCATCGCAGGCCGTTAATTAAAATACAATAAATTTGCACTAACGGACACTGTAAATCACCGTCCGTTTACGCCTTCAGAGAATAAACTATATATATTTACAAGACACCACCCGTACCTTTGACGTCTTCGTGTAACACTCAAAACGCAATGTAATGCTATTACGTACACTATTGCTACAAGAGTCTACAAGCGTTCTTTACGAAATTTCGTTTCTTATGACTCTTCGTTTTGCCACCGGGTCGAAGGATTATCGTTCCATTACTGGCGTTACGACCACACATTGACCCATCTGGACTAAACGCACCTGTAAAACAAGGAGAGATATAACTTCATTCATACTGCAGACGAATTACGGATTTTTGCAATACAATTGAGTCTACTTACTGATGACAGAAGGAGATCTAGGTTCTGCAGAATATAATCTCAAATCGTCCTGATAATCATCGTCGGAGCGACGCATCTCGTGCAAACATCGGGATGCTAAATGTCGGAAGACGCTCATCACACCGATATCCTCCTTCACAGACGTCCGTAGGAGTTTGCAACCTAAAGTGCGACCGAGCCTTTCGGCTTCGTCCCTGTAATATCAGATGCTTCAGACCTGCGAGTTTCATTTTTAAGAAACAGAAATGGTTTAACGCATACTCACGCATCGATCACGCTTTGGTCAACAAGATCGATTTTATTTTGCACCAGGACTGTGGGTATCTCTCCACACTCATTCTCGACCTACAAGAGAATATTTTAAGAAAATTATACAGAATGTCTATTGTCTAAGAAAAAAAGTGAATTTTTTAATAATAGAGCTTTTCCGCTATTTTAGAATCGATTTTTCCTAATCAAAGGTGGCTAATAATTTTCATTTATTTTAATAAGCAATAAAAAGTTTTAAGCGAATTAAATTTTAGCAGATTAAATTCATTCCTTTATTAATTTTAAATGAAATTTACAGATTTGTACCTTAAGTTTCCACGAAGGAATAGCATCGAAAGAATCTCTATCAGTCGCTGAATAAGCGAGGACACAGGCATGTGCACCGCGATAATAAGCCGCGGTTATCGCATCGAATTCTTCCTGTCCTGCAGTATCCCATAGCATCAATCTTACATCCTCACCATCGACTCTGTCAACACAACGTATATGTATTTATTTACACATTTACTTATTATTTGTCGTAATACTATTTAATCGATCACAATCTTAGAAAAAAAATTTATCTTTGATTTTGATTTTCTCGAATATTTTACTGTTATCACAAAATTTATAATCTTAATTTTAATGCTAATTAATTTTGATTATCTATTATATTCCTAATTTTATTTGTGCGAATGCATACAGACCTCAAGTTAATTAAAAATTTAGGGTCAAATTGTTGCAATTGCTATGCAAAGGATGACTAATCGTAAGATAGATATTAAACAATGAATCGTATGCGAGAGATAAAATTCCTTCCAATATATTGACCGACATTACATCGGTAGTTGGTGTCAAGAGGGGATACAAAAAGTATCCCACGGTAGCTCACGCTGGCACGATTAAAATCAAGTTTTTCTCAGGCACGTCGCTCTCGAACTTGTATACCCATATGTAACGGTATATAATGATCAGCATCGAATAATCCGATCAGTAAACACAATTCCCGAATTTAATTTGTACTAACATTCGTCATATGATTTATACATCGACAAAATATGTGAAACATTCGCAAATCCCTTTCTGCTCTAAATATCTTATTATTATATCTATATAATATATTTGATTATTTTTTAATCCACAATATTCCTGAACAAATAATTCCTCTGAGTTTTAAAGATTTAAAATTAATTACATAATTAGATCAAAAGCCTTTTCCATCAACCTCTAGTTAAGTTAATTAATTCGCAAAAGTGCCAACGACAATTTAATGTATGTATTTTCTAGTCTAGAATTTTTTTTTTAGATGAACTATGTTTAGTTCTCACTATGTTTAGTATCACTCGCGATGTCTAATTTTGCCTCGATAGTCTAAAGTCTAAAGTCTAAAGTCTAAGTCTAAAGACTTAGGACGCTCGTACGGAATACAAGAGAGATCCGAGTTCGATTTCCGGCTGAGATAATATTTTTCGCAATAAATTTATTTACAATTTTTCAGCATTTTAACATTCCAGCAAACGAGAATGGATTGAAATGGATTAAAATGGATTCGGATTTTTAGAAATACGGATTCATGAATGTTAAAATGAATCCTTTTCAATCCTGAATGCCCATTTTTATTCATTTATAGGAATTGCATAGAACATATTTCTATGTCTTTTAATCTAAAAATAATGTAATATTAGCATTTTCTGTGCATCGTGAATACTACTCAATTCAGAATTGTGAATAGAAAGTGTACAGTTTTTTTTAAATTTAGTTAAATTTAAACAATATCAGTAATTTCTGTGCAACGTGAATCAATTCAATATTCTGAATGTGAAATGCAGTTTTTTAATCTAATTAAATAAAAAAAATTGTTATTTAAAAATGGATCATAAATGTTACTTAAATTATTCAAAATTATAAGTAGGAAATTTTTCATTTTAATCCAACTAAGTTCAAAAAAGTTGTAACGTAAAAATAATTGAGCTATGTTCTTTTGTTTCTCTTTGATTAGAAGTAAAATGAATGATCGAATACTCGCAAACCAAGTCGAACACAGCTCGAATATTAGGCTAATCACGGCTCGCGACATCGGCCAAGCGAGATTAGATTATCCGACATTTATCCAATGTTGTCCCATGGTAATGTAAATTATTTAATATAAATAATGGAGAGCATACAACAATAAAGGTTAACGTAAATCATATATTTAAAATTCACATAAATAAGTAGACATTTCGGTCAAGATTTGACCATCATCAGTATAAACGAGCTGACAAAAAATAAAAGATTTACAAAATAGATTTTAATTAAGCAAAAATCACTAGTCCGAAGGTGTTACAATAATATCAAAAAATAAAATTACATAAAAAAATTACTAAAAAGAAATTACATAAAATTAATTAACGCAATGCTCGCAAGTTCATAGATGATGAAATAATTTTTTCAATCACTTGTGGTATGAATTTACAGCGTAATTAGAAATCAAGAGAGTTAAATTTAACAATATTTCAAATCTTTTGATGTAATTCTCTGTTACAATTCCTGTTTTCTTAAGAAGCAATGAGCAACTTTGTGTGAAAATACGGAATTTCCAAGTTCTATTAAAATTAAAAAAATTTTTTTTTATACGCTTAAAACAACTTTTCCAATACCATAACTGATTCATAATCCAGAGGTCCCAGCCCAGCAAACGAGAATGGATTGAAGTGAATTGAAATGGATTCAAATTTATAGAAATATTGATTTACGAATGTTAAAATGAATGCTTTTCAATCCTGAAAGCATTTTTATTTATTTATAGGAATTGCATGGAGCATATCTCTATACCTTTCAATCTAAAAATAATATTAGCTTTTTCTGTGCATTGTGAATACTGTTCAAAATTTTGAATAGGAAATGCAGTTTTTCAATCCAATTGCATCTAATTGAATCCAATTAAATCCAAAAAAAGTATTCGCTATTTAAAATACGCATTCGGATAAAAAAAAATTTCAATCCATTTTAATCCATTCTCGTTTGCTGGAAGGTTCTCGAATCTCAGGTGCGTTTTTTAATACCAATTTGAAGTAGTTAATTTCAGTTATAATTATTATAAATGTCTTAGGAATAAAATTTGTAACCCTTAAATATGAATGTTTTTTTTTTTTTTTCGAATATATTAAATTAGTGTCAGCTCGGATCCAATCCATTTCAATCCATTCAATCCATTTTCATGGATTTAAAGTACGTATTAAAAAAATTTTAATCCATTTTAATCCATTCTCGTTTGCTGGGATCTTTGTAATATGATGTCTGATTGAGCATTAAATTATTAAAAATTGTTTGTCAATTTAATTTAATTCGTGATATTATTATAGTAGTTTAATTGCGTTTTTTTAAGTCCAGAAAATCAATTCGGCGCGAATAACTACAAATATACATGTATGTATGTATATATACGTATATATACATATATATATATACACACATATGTGTGTGTGTGTGTGTGTGTGTGTGTGTGTGTATAATGAATTATTAAGCATTAAAGATTTATCTTCGACCGATATACGCATTTCTAGTTCGTATTGATTCTGTTCTCTCACATATATGGTCTAAAATATGATTCTTATTTCTAATTTAATCGATTAATTTAACTGAAAATTGAAAAAGACTCTCCCTCTTGCTTTGAATGCCGCGTTGAATCAACTTAATTTTAAATTGAAACGATTCGACACGTTCGAGTGGTTACTTACTCGATCTCACGCTCTAGGAAGTCGACGCCGATCGTCTTCTTGTAGTCCCTGGTATAAGTACCTTTACAAAACCTTTGAATCATCGACGACTTCCCCACGGCGCCATTGCCCACTATCACCACCTAAGCGAGAGATATTAATATTATTATTTGGAAGGTAAAGAATCACACGTAGAATATTTATTGAGTAGTTCTTATTCTATATAAATTAATAATTTATATCGATCGAATCGTCAAGAGTCATGGCCCAAATAATTTTGCCAAATACGATCGATAGAACGTTGAGTGAGGAAGTAAGTTAGATATTCAATATAGAATATTATATCAATCGAACTATCGAGGGTCATAATCCAAATGATTTACTTAAAGAAGTTACAACCAGAGGAGCGTTGCGTGAGGAAGTAGGTTATATCGATAAAGACATTAATCCAGGTAAAAAAACCGGTCGCCGATGGTAATCTCCACCGACATGGTTTAGGCCGGGCTTTATAATTTAAAGCGACACGGACAGCGATGGAAAGGATCTCAGGAATGCTCGCATATGAAAATACCAAAGGTATTATATTTACAGGTATTTGAACAGCGATATGATAAAATTGATATCTAATCGGTGCCGAAGATTTTCCTGAATTCCATACGTGCATTCTTATTTTGACTTATCCATCCTGATAGTTGTAAATCGCGCTAAATCGTGTTCTCCACGTTCGACTGGTTTTCAATGTACGGGAGAACGAAAGGACTGCGGGATGTCCCGGAAGTTATTAAATATATTTTCTATCCTGCGTTTTCCAGCCTCAAAATCGATGGAAACAACGATAACTTTGTTGGTATAATTAGCGAATAAACATGTATCACGGTCCGCAAATTGAATAAATTAATAGCGTAACGTTAGTCATTCATTTCAAGTTGGCTTTAACGGAATTCGTAAAGATATTTTGCGATGTAGAGATAGTTGCCCATCCATGATATCTCTGCCAAGGAAATTCTTATTCGAATTCCGAAGGAGATGCGATTAAAAGAATATCCAGTAATTCGGGGATATGTTGTATAAATAACGAAGAAAAGCATAAATGCGTAGTCTTCGACAACAGGCGCGATGAAAACGCGAGTAAGTACCGTTATCGGCAATCGGGAGATAAGCAGAGATCACTGGAGCAGCACCGAACTCGCATACGCTTCCCTTTTTTTTTTTTGTAGTTACCACTTTAGTCTTTTTAACTTTAAAAAGAAACTTCATTTTCAATATTCTTCCTCCATCAATATTAAGAGATTGATTGGAAATAGAATTCATTTTCTCCTTATTTCCAACTTGGTCGGATTTTAAGCTTCAAGCTCCATTATATACAATGTTTTCCTTTTAAAAAACATCGACACAAATGTCGTTTCAGCCTTCTTAATTAGCATTTAATGAATAACAAAGATAGAACATTGTGTTTCCTAAATGGAAAACAGTTTAAATGGAACTTGAAGCTTAAAATTTGATCAACTTGAAAAAATGAAGAAAAAAATCTGAATTTTATTTCTAATTCTCCATAACGTTGGACTTTAAAGGCACATCAGTTAATTGTGAATTCTGGTAGATAAATTGAAATTTGTCAAAAATAAATAGAATACAATCCCCAGATAGTACAAAGAATTCAAAAAGAATTCAGTGATTCAATTCTGATTTTATTTTTAAATGCAAAAAGAATTCTTTTTCTGAAAAGTTATGAAAAGAATTCTTACTACATTTAAAAATGACCTCCAGAATTTCTGACATACTGAATTCTTTTTGAATTCTCTCTGTACTGTCTGGAATCGCCAACTTTTATGGCAGTAAAAATGTGTGATTATAGCCATTAAACTTTTATAGATATGCGTAAACATTTCAAATTTTTATATAGTCCGGAACAATATAATAAAAATCTGCACTGAAGTTCGAAGTCCTGCAGGCTGCGGACGAAGGATAAAACTAATGGAGATTTAATTGCTTTTCAAATTGCGTAAAACTATATTATTTAATTCTTTAATTATGTATTTGATGTATGTATATGCGATTCTCCGCTCAGCGGAGTTTTACCTCGCGTGTTAATCGCGTGCGAAATTTATCGAGTCGATTCTCGACGAGCATCGCGAATTCTCGAGAACTTGGATAACTTAAGTGTCTTAAGCATTGATGAATCTCGAATTAGCAAAAAACATACGATCAGATAATAAAGTTAACGGCGCGTGAATATCATAACCATCAGATGAACGAACTGATACAGACGTTGCGAGTGAATTAATTTACAACATAAATGTGACTGGCAGATAATAATTACGAATAAATATCGATAACGTATAATTCCATTATATGTAAATTTAATATCATGAAGAAAACGAGCGGTAATTCCAACTTGTTTTTGAAAGGTAATTCTTTTTAGCCAAATTCAACTTATTTTTTTAGCTATGTCGACAATATTTTTTTAAAAGGGAAACACTCTAAATTACGGATTTTAAACTATTGACCCTGGTGAAAATTTTTCTCATAATTTTTATACAAATTGGAACATTTTTCACACAAAAATACTCAGAAATATTTCGAAAGTTTATATCATCTCTCAGAATTTTTCATACAAGTGAATTCTAAAATATTCTGAAATTTCTCATCCCATAATTTCTAAAAAATATTTTTAAATTTTTTTAGATTTTATAACATTTCATCAGAAATTATACTTACAAAAAAATCTTAGAAATCTTACGATATTTCATAACTAACATATACGAAAAATTCTGCGAAAAGATGTAAATTTTCTGAGAAATGTTCTAATTTGTATGAAAAATGTGAGAAAGTTATAAAATTATAAAAAATTTTTTTAAATTATATGAAAAATTCTGAGAAAAATTTTCACCAGAGAAAGCGGTTAAAATCACAATTTGGAAAAAGCGGAAGAAAAGAATGAATTCTATTTCCGATTAATGTCTTAATTGAAAAAAATTACTACTAATTGGAAAAATCTGTGCATGAAAGATGCTTCGTCAAATCTATCCCTGAATTACTGCGAGCAGAAGTCACTCGTCACGTCGAGAGCGAGCATTAAGGAGCGTCTTAGAGTATATGAATAAAAAAATCAACGAGGTGCGGCCTCGCCGCGGAAATAATAACTTCGAGTGTGTGTAGCAAGACGACGCGCAATAACGAGACGGTCGCTTTCCTTTCCGGCGGAAAAATCACGGCGCGAATATGAAAAATTGCGTCCGCTTCTTTTCGATCTATCACGCTCTATCACGGTATCTACTCTCTTGATGTACATAGAACGGAGCAAACGCGTTCGTGGAATTTGGAAAAATCTAGATGGAGAGAAATGAAAAAATTACAGTAAAGTAGAAAACTAGAGGGAACGGAAGTAAGAAACCGGGAGCCTCGCGATTACCTTGAGTGATATCTCGAGCTCTTCCTCTCTCATTCTGACCGTAAAAGGTGATTAACATAATATCCCAGTGCAACGTGAATTCATCCTTCCATCGATCGAGCGTAGATCGCTGTTGGCATGTGAAAATTTTAGCGTTTATTCGAAAGCACCGTGCATATCAGGAGGAGAAAAAAGAGAGGGATTCTTTCTCTCTCTCTCTCTCTCGCTCTCGTTCACCTTCTCTCTCTTCTCGGTACTGAGTCGATGACTTTGCGCCCCAACCGAGTCATTATTCAGAGCTCCGACACACACGGCGTCGCGCCGCGTTTCTTCACGTTGCCCGCGATATATCACTTTCTCGTAGAAAAAGTCTCGGCCGCGAAACGGAACGGAACTCGCACTCGGAGAGGAAAGCGCAGTCCTTCCTCGCGCCACGACGAGAGTGGTACGATACGGAACGGAACGGAGCACGCATCCACGCACGCATGCACGCACGCACGCAGGCATGCACGCACGCACGCACGAATGCGCGCCGCTCTGACCACCACTGGCCGACTGAAGAGAACACCTGTACAGCCAGGAGACACCTGTCGCTGACGCGCGCTTGCGGATCTGGTGATTTTATGTATCTAGCGAAGCGCCATATATAAAACACTAGTGTGGCGAAACTCGCGTTCCTCGCGATTCGAACTTGCCACTCTTCTCGGTGCTAAATAAATATTTAGACACGTACGCGCGCATTGTGTCTGCAATTAAATATACACTGAGAAAAAAATTATTCTTTTCACTTAAACCAATTTAGTTCTCGTCTTCAACCCTTTCAATGAAGAATTATGAAAAAAATTTGTCAATCCGAATATGCAATTGGCATTACAAGAAATTGTTTATTTGACTAAATTAATTTAGCCCGTTTTTACTTCTTCCTCAGGATATATGTACTAATTGCATATTCAAATCAGTAACATATTTCCTATATCAAAAGTTAAGAATAACTTTTAGAAATGCTCCTTTTTAAACATTTATGTATAGAATAATTCTTATAATAAAGGTTTTTGAATAATCTCATTTTCATAAACAAAACTGTTGCGTTTTTATTTTATCAATTATTTCTTACATATCTAAAGTATTTTTATTTTCACTCGCCACAAATTCCTATGATATAATTATTCGATAGAGAAATCACCTTCCTTTCTAATTACAGAAAAAGAATTTGTCGAAATAAAAATTATAACAGGAATTCCAGTAAACTTTCATCCGTTTTGTGCTTGTAATCGTTGCATTACATTTCATTATTATTATATCTAATTGATAGTATTTTTTATCTTATGTCTTACAAGTGCATTGTCACAACTTATGACCCTCTTTAGATTTCATGCACACGATTTAATTTATTTATAAAATATAAAATAAATTTTAAATTATAAAATACTTGCTTTAACGTTTTCTTTTATAAATAACAATTTTCTTTTACTAAATTACAATTTCTCAAGATAAATGTAAAATAAAGCTTAATTGAAAAAAATAGTACTTCTTATATGGGAAGTTGGTCGATGTATCGTTAATCTAAGCCATCTAAGGGATAACGGTATTACAAAGATTTATCGTGCAGATTTACAAAGATTTCCCCGACGATGATACCATCCGTAAGCACACATTTCTTTGAAATTTGCGATCAATTTGGTACTATTAACACAGCTCTGATTTCAGAACAGAAGATGGATGCTAGAGTTGATGTGCATACATACGCTCTCATATATATATAAAGCCTTATCACGTACATATTTCAAGATGTTTTGTATGATTTGCATCAAATCTCTAGGGGCTTATTTTCTGATGAAATTAGAGTCGATTTATCCACAAAAGTCTTTCGATAAAAATACCAAAATTATCTCGAGTGTATCAATAAAACATTTATTGTAAAAAGATTGCATAAATTGTTTTGAAAGATAACTTCCAGTAATATTTCAATCATGGAAAAATCAACTCTAAATTCATAGAAAAATTAATAGACGAAAGGAATGGCGATGACTTTGGCACATTCCGTATATATGTGTTAAATAGATCAAAATATTGCTAAAATATCTATATAATTTTATCATCATTTACCGTTATAAAGTCATACATTTATAAAGTATATATCTAATATTATCGACTTATTTTTTACGCGTAATAATTATTCTCAAATTTGAGTCATTCACAAACGTGAAAAATCGCAATAAATGAGTATAATAAAACATTAGAGACGATATATAAAAATATATAAAAATGTCGAATTTGATAACATGAACATGTCCGAATGATTAACGAAGATGACGTAATTCGTGATATACATTCTCTTCTCATAGTACTTAAAGATACAATGGTAAACTGGATGTTTCGCGCCTTCATAGCAAATATCGTACATTTCTCATGCATAGATAGGTGCATACTCTCACGCGTATCCAAAATGTGATCTTACACGTTATAAGTAACAAGTACATCTTAGAAAACGTTAGCTGGCAGTTTGTGTCAGTATTTGTCGCGTTTTGTGACAAACAGACGAGATAGACGAAGGAAAATATAATATCGTTCGACACAATCACTACAAGACAGTCTTCCGCATTATTTAGGACGGACCGAATTATAGTTCCCTCGATCTTCGCACATGCACGCACACGGCTTGCGAAATCATTTCGACGACTTCTGTATATTTGTTTCGCGGGAGTACGTCGTTATTAAATTCGTGTTACACTCGAGTGAGAAGAAAGAAGGAAAAATTATGTATTTATGGTCCGTCGTTTCGTCTCTCCCGTTGTCGGTTCAATTTTCAAGAGATCGATTTTTCATCGTATCATATATATATATATAGTGTATGTATGGGAATTGTAATGCAGAAAGTACAACTTATATATTGTACACAAATATATTACATCGTTACTACTATCATCATCACTTGGAATTATCACCCTGATGATCGAGATCTACCTAACTGACACTTATAAACGATTTTACAAAGGCCATTTAACGTCTACGTGTACAACATCCTTACTAAAACGATATCTAAAATCTCGTCGCCGCTAAAGCTATCAAAATGCCAATGTACGTTTGTCAAGTCATACAGGTAAAAATGTACAAATATTCTTCAAGATTTATGGCAGACAGAATGTGCGAAGACGAGAACGTAAAGGGAAAGAAAAAAAAAACAAAGTAGAGAGAAAGAGACGGGGGAAAAAAAGAAAACTTTACCGTTAAATAAAACTATGCTATTGATCGTTCGCAAAATGGTCGTTCGAGTATAAAAGTTGCGATACTTTTTCAGAAGTACCGCGAAAACTAGTGTCACAAATAGATCAATGAAGAAGATCGTAACGATCGCCGTCGATGAAACGACGATGGTACAGTTACCGGATCTCTTAATGGAGCAATACGGAAGAAGAATTCGAAATCCTCTATTCAATACGCAGACGCTTCCTTGTACTCGGAACCTTCCATAGTGAAAAAGTCTTCAAGTTTCCACTGAAGTGTCTCGAAAGTCGGTCTTTTCATAGGATCCTTGTTCCAACATTCCAACATGATATTATAAAGTGTGTCGGGACAGCCGGGTGGACTTGGCATTCTATAACCATGCTCCACTTGATGAAGAACTTCAGCATTTGTCATACCTGAAGAATAAAATGCATTTTTATGTTATTAATTTAATCGCGCATACGTTAAAAATGATTAAAAATGACTTTATGTAATTGTACTTAAAAGTTTAAAAGTTAAATATAGTAATACGCAAGATTATTTCTATTTTCAAAATCTCACCTGGATAGGGTATTCTACCGTATGTGACCAATTCGGTAAGGAGAATTCCAAACGACCATACGTCGGATTTAATACTGAATTTGCTGTAGTTGGCGGCTTCAGGAGCGGTCCACTTAATAGGGAAACGCGCCCCTATTCTAGCCTCGTACTCATCCTCTTTGATAAGCCTAGCCAAACCAAAGTCCGCGATCTTAACGACATTTCCGTCTGCTACGAGAACATTACGGGCGGCCAAGTCTCGATGAATATAATTCTGCGACTCTAAATACGCCATACCGGCAGCTATTTGCGCGGCCATGTCGATTAGTTGCTGTAGCTTTAGGCCTCTACCTTTTCCTAAAAGATCATACATGATTGCTACAACGGTAATGTAACGAAAAGATACGACAGCAGAAATAAGCTTTATCGATTTTGTAGTAGTATTTTGAGATGACACTTTGAAGAATGAATGAGCAAATAAAATATGCAACTAGACTGAGAAATATATCTATTCTTTTTATTTAAAGAGCAGAAAACTGGCAACTTTTTAGAGTAAAATGCTTCTAAATCTTCAGATTTTTGGCAAAAACATGACCAAACAGTATAGTGTTAAAGTGTTGACAATATAAGTTGAAGAAGATAAAAAGTAGAAATATATTCGATCAATCTTTTAATTTAAAATACTGGCACATATTTTTATACAAAAATATTTCGTGAATATCCTTTAATTATTTAAGAAGCTTTTATCACACAATATAGTGATAAAAGGGCCAGTAAGAATAAAATCGTACCTTGCGTACCTTGTAAATATTCCAGAAGACTGCCGTTCCTCATCAATTCTGTAATGATATAGATCGGTTCCTCCATCGTGCACACAGCGTACAACTGAATTAGTTTAGCGTGTCGGAGTTTCTTCATAATCTGCGCCTCGGCAAGGAAGTCCTTCGGGTCCATGGTGCCCGGTTTGAGCGTCTTTATCGCCACTGGGGTAGTATTGTTCCACAGACCTTCCCACACCTCGCCAAATTGACCCTGTCCCAACTTCCTCAGGAATTTCAGCGACGAACGATCGATTTCCCATTGGTCCCGCGTACGGTGACTAAGGCCTTCCGTTACGGGTTTCTCAACCTGTTGAACAAAGCCAGACTCGGAATCAGCCGTCATCGGCAAGGGGACAGACGCGCGAGACTCGATTTTGTGCAAGGAAGATGTTTGATCGGCTGCATTAATGGCGAACTATATTTCGTTTCGTCTCCTTTGTGAGAACAAATTCTATAGCTAAGCGTAAGAGACAATATTCTACGCAGTGTAAAAAAAAAAGAGAGAGAGCGCTAGCGCTTAACTTCCCTTGTTCGCGGATGACAAACTTACTTTTCTCCATGTCCTGCAATCGTGTAAGAACCCCAATAACGATCCCGGACGGTAAACATGATCGCGAGATCGTTCCAACAGATATTTAGAATTTTAGGAGAAAGACGAAGAGGAAAATGAAGTAACGAGTGATACAATATGCAGAATGTCTCAAATATGTCGTAATTAGAAGAAGAAAAAAACATGCCGCGAATCTCAGAAATACTCGGTATACGCGTACATACACGATCTAAACGGGATAGCATGCACATATGCTCGTTCGCCTCTCGAATAACGGATGAGATATGTAGGAACGCTTTTGGGACATCCTGTATATAGATAGATTTCGAGCACACATACATTCGAGCCGATATTCTCGCTTTCGCGTTCAATACTCAATATAAATTTATACATACGTATGAGAAAAAGAGTTCGTGTGTAAATTGTTATTCACAAACGAGAGCGCGATATTTCGCGGTGAAACGCAAAAAGTGTCGTTTCCTTGCTTGTGTGTGCTGCCAATCTCGATTCTTTATATTTACCTATATATGTTACACCTCTCGCGAGGTGTCTACGATGCTAGATGAATTGGTGTATGAGATAAGTTGTTGTAAATATGAAATTACATCGAATGTACAGAGCTTTTATACGAGATATCTCTAAGTGAATGACAATCTACTGCTTTTGAAACATAATCCCATATAGAACGGGCTTGTGCTGTATATACAGGCCAGACATAATGAAATATAAAAGCGTTTTACGTCGAGAAAAAGAAAGGAATCGAAAAAACGTGTTATGGCATATATTAGGACATTCAATTTACCAAGAAAATCCACCGGGAAGTAGGGCAAGCAATAAACAGACAAACAAACACAATCTATTCAGACATCGAACTTCGCAACAAGTGCTTATCAATGCTTCTAAAAAACTGATATCTCTTCCTTTTTCATTAAGTAATATAAATTAGATATGAATATACCTCATTTGTGCTGTGACATTAAGTTTCATTTAATCAATCTCCTTTACTCGCGACTTTTCAAAAATAAACCAACTGAATTAGAAAATTACAGATGTAATCGATGTAATTGATATGTTGTAAATGTTTTGTACTCGGAACGATATCTCAACGATCTAAAGTATTGTGCATTAGTAGCAATAATGCTTATAATAACGAAGGTAGTAGAGGTAATAACAAAGAAAGAAAAAAGATATTAATTATTAGTATTAATAGTTACAATAATATTTTCTATAATAACATAACAGTAATAATATACTGTTGATCGAGTTTGTCGCCATCATCGTAATTAGGGCGAATAATCAGCGTATCGATCGGCATCGTTGCAAGTGTTGGAGTTTAGACAGTATTATATATGATATACTGGTAGGAAATAAACATAAAGCCAGTTTATGTAAATTCATCGATATTATCCCAATTGACTTCCGCTGCCATTTGTTGCGTGGGAGTATGTATGTGTAATTTTAAAAAGATTTCTATGACCATATTATTTATTTTCCTTCCTTCTCATCACACGTTTCAATTGAGATCATTCATCTAATGCAATTCCATATTTCAATGACAACAAATTTCCGCTAAAAGCAGTCTCATTCACGGAAATAAACCAAAACACAGTAGATAGATAGAACAATTATAACGCAAATTCTCCGTTCGTACCGTCTCATTATTAATAAAGACCTGCCTAACTCAGCGATAAATGAAACTTTGTCGCCGAGGTGACGTATGGCGCGTTACTCGTAAGTATATATGACGTATTTACTTCGACGAATCTCTGTCTAAACTCCCCCTCGTCAAATCTCATAACACGCGATTCTTACGACTGTTATAGCAGCGGCGAATAATAGTACGACGATTATTATCTACCTATCAATTATTACCGTTAATATACTGAGAAAAGGAATCGTTATTTTATACTGAGAACCATATCGGTCACTCGTAGAACTTACCTGCACGCAAGGCTTGCACAAATTAACACACAGGCCATCCGCGTCTTTGCTGTAGTGCTCCACAAGATCCTGCAAATTTCTGAACGTGGTTCGCCTGGCGATGAAAAAGCCACCCTCGTCCAATTGACGAATACGGTAATGTTTCACCGTGTCGCCGTCACGCACTACAACAATCATCGATATATATTCCACTTTGGCGCTTTAATGGCCTCGCAATTTTGCATACAGATCGCACGCTGCCGCGCGATCCCGCTCGATCATTATTCATTTATTTGTTATCGTACTGTCGGTATTACGACCACGACCGGTAGTTTCTATTATCGTTCTATGACGTTACCTGAAAGGGAGTAATCATTGTGTCGGCTCTCGGAGTCTCTTATCAGAAACGCGCCGTGATCGTTTTCCGGCAGTAGCAATTTTTTCTCAGCCTCAATTCGCTTAATCTTCCTGAAATACCATCTGTAAATGCAAATTAGCGTTATAACTTTTACAGATTCGCTCTTCCACTTACTAATCGCTAAGATTCTTTGTTGCGAATCAATCTCTGACTTATTTCGTAGATTAAAGATCATGATCAGCACGACGAATTTTTGCCTGTCGATTATAACAAATTATTAATATATCGTATATAATTTTTAATGCTTTCCAGCGAGAGATACAGTGATCATTTTATCTTTGTTTAACATTGGTAAACAATAAGGCTATAATAAATGATTCACTGTGCTGGAAAGTATTCTTTATTATTAAATATATCAAAGATCTCATTTGATGGAGCGGCTGTGTGTTCTTGCTTTAGTCCAAGCACTATCATTAATTGTTGAAAGTTTCTATCAAGTTTTATTTGTATTCCATTTTGGCCCACCAATATAAGATTAACATTAATCTCGGTTTAACTTACTGTTTATCTTTTCCCTATTTCTAGAATTAGCAGAAGGTCTCAACATCTGAGGCTGCTTTCCTTTTAGGGGAGACACAAATGTCGTTTTATCTTTGTTTATTCATTGCATTCCAATCAAGATAGAACGATGTTTGTGTCTCTCCTAAAAGGAAAGCAACCTGAATTATTATCTACATCCACCTAATGTGCAGGAACCATCCAAACAAAGTTCAAAGATCAGCGATATCGGCTTTGATTAAACAGATAAAAATTATCACGCCTAGTCCAATTTAAAACGACAAAGGCCACTCACGGTTCTGCCTCGATTGATTTCAATTTGGCGACGTAATTGCTGGGAATGTAGCCCTCCTGCCTGGTCCTTTTACTCTTGGCCAGCCACCAGTCTCCCTGCGTGTCGTTGATAATCTCCAAGTGTTCTCCCTTCTTAAAACTCAAATCCTCGTCAGTGCGAGCGTCATAATCGTACAAAGCAACGAATATCTTCGCCGTCGTAACGTCCATGTCTGGGATCTGCGGAATCGGCCTGATAGGATCCGGCGGCGGCGTCGGCACCGGGCTGACCTGCGACGCGACCGCCTCTATGCTGGGATTGCCGATCCTGTCCGGCTTCTCCTTCTCCACGTCCGTCGGGCTGCTGAAGCAGTTCCCCATGTTTCGGCCGTTCGCGTCTACGTCCGACTACGATTTACGATCCTCTCGAACGATCTTCAAATCGCGCCGCTGTCCACCGTCCACGAGACGGGTCCACCTTCTCACATTTAACGATCACTATATCAAAGTCACTGGAGCAACCCGTTTAAAGTTCACAGTCTTTTATATATATATATATATAGACACGCAAATCGCCGGATGCGTAGGTGTTAAAAATCAAGAACGAGTCAGTACCTTCGGTACCGCGTCACGTTAATCCGATTAATCGTTCGTGTGATTCATTACCTGGGGAAAAAGGGAGAAGGTTATCCACACGCGGGCAGGAGCGAAGTTGTTGAGAACCGTCAGCTGCGCCGTCGACCGGAGGACAAGAGATCGAGGACACGGGCAGGACGGGGCGAGACCGTCGGCTGGATGGAAGCGAGCCGTGCCGGGAGGATCACATCCGCGTGAGGAAGTCGCGAGGCGGTGCCGCGCATTCTCCGGATATCCCGGAGCCCTGGGACGACGCTCGGCTGCACCAGCGGATTGCCTGCCGCATCGCAACTTCCTGGGAGAACGGCGTGTCCTGTCCTACTCCAAAGTTAGTCCAGATTATCAAGAGGACAACGACGTTGGACTTGATTCTCTGGCACTATCAGGATTCGTCTCGATTATCGTATCCTCGAGAGACACGACCAGACACGACCAGACACGACCAGACACGATCAGACACGACCAGACACGACAATCCAGCGGAGGAACGCGGCGATAGAACACGCGCGCGCGATCCAGCCTCTCACCTCGATAGAGCTTAGAAAGTAGGCGAGTCGCCAGGCGCCGTCGCCATTGCAGCGGTCACGGATCCGTCAAAAAGGCTCACCGTACGTATCCGTTTTCGCATGCGCGCGCTGCCCACCGACGAGATTCTGGCCTTCCTCCTCGTGTACACACGACACACGCCCAATTTCTCGTCGACGATCGACGGTTCATCCGATCGCGACGGCGACGGCGACGGCGATGACGCTGACGCTGCTACCGCGGCAAACGATCCGTACCTCAGCCTCGACTTGTCCTCGTCGTCCCCGGTAATCCCGGTATTCTCATCGTTCGCGCTCGCGAGAACGTGATGGAACGTGCCAGATGTATTCTGAACGTTTCACATTCGAACCATTCACATCGCATACCACGGCTTGTCGTAACTCGTAATTCGCACGATCTAATCCCGGTGGAGAAAGTGACGATTCGGAGCGCGAGTGACTCGCACTCGGAGTACTCGGACTACTCGGACGCGCCTCTCGATTCTTGTCTGTCTTGTCAGTTCTTGTCGTCGCTGGTCGTCGCCACGACGCGCCTAACCTCTGGCGGATTCTCTCGGAACTACTCATTCTCATACCGAAGTAGCGCCTGTAGCGCTCGTTCGGTAAAGAATTCCTTCGTTTATTTTGAAAAAAAGTTTTATGCAGCTATATATTATTCCAAGCAGAATAACAAGTCGCGATAACGTCAAAATGACATTAAAACGAATCGGAAATGATTGAAAAATGACTTTTAATAATCATTTTGGAGTTATTTTGACATCATTTTGATATCATGACTTGTTGCTTTACTTGGAAATTAATAATTATATATGAAACACATATATCGAGTCAAGAGAAAATCAAAATGACTTTATTTTGGCAGTATGAAAATCAAAATGTTTTGATTTTTTATTACAAAATTTGACTGTTTTATTAACATTAAGAATCGAAATGAAGTCATTTTGATTTTTAGCGGAATCATGTTTATTTTAGGTAAACGTTTAATTTATACAGGTTGTCCCTAAGTAAGTTTTTATCAAGCTCTTTTGTGTAGATAAAGCGGACTAAGTTGAGTCGAAAAGTTCTTTATCATTTTGCAATTTTCGCAATAATTAACAAGATATTAGCTACTAAAAATTGCCTAATATTGATTCTTTAATAATTTTTTACCCATCAAATACTATACTATCAATTTTACAGAAGAACTGCAAGAGACAAAAATCATTTAATTTCTTCTCATAGAACTCTAAAAATTTTTTCAGAATTTCTTATCAACTTTTACGTTAACTGCATTTTCTTATTTTTATAAGATTTTCTTATCTTATTTTTAATATTTTATTATGAGAAAATACGGTATTAAAAAATTTTGAAAAAAACTGAAAAAGTTCTTAAAACTTTATGAGAAGAAAATAAACATTTTTTGTCTCTCGCTGTTTTTCTATAAAGTTGATGAGTATTTGAGTAAAAAATTATTGAAAACCAATATTCATTTTTAGTAATTAATATCTCGTTAATCATTGCGAAAATTGCAAAATAGAGGACTTTTCGACTTAATTTAGTTCGCTTTATCTACACAAAAGCGCTTGGCAAAAACTTACGGGACACCCTGTATAATGTCTCTTTGATTTTCTTGTAACTTTGTAAATTTTTGAGCGACGATTTTCCTTTTCGGAATATATTTAGCAGTCGAGCATATGCAAATGTAATTAATTAAGAACTTCTGGCAAAACACAAAAACAGTAATATTACATCCATTAATATTCCCCACTCAACAATATAAATGTAATATAATACATGTTGTACACGTAACAGTTACATAATTGTCGGGAAATTATAATACTGATATAAATTAATGTTATATTACTGTTTATGCTCTGCAGGTTTATTTCAACTTTGACAATCGCTTATATTTTCTATAACAATTATATAACTTTTTTTAATGTTTCTAAGCTCAATCCACCTCCGTTTATATTGTGAGTAGAATTCTGATCTAGAAGAAAAAGAAAGAGAGAGGAAACGCATTATCGCCAGTTGAAATGGAATAATGTTGGAGTTAAATTTCTGATAAGGATGTCTCATATTATACTCTACCTCCTCTCATGTACATATCGTTTGATATATTTGCTTACTTCTCGGTAAACTTTACTAACAGATCCCGATCAAGCCAGAAAAATACAGCTACAATCGATTACAATCACCGTAAGATGATCGCCCGTGCTTATTATTGGGTGGTACAAGAAAAGATGGTCCTTGACGTCGACACCGAAATGTTGCGATCGATAAGAACTACATTATTATTTAAAAAAAAGCGCGACAATCTGTTATTTTATCTCTGTATTAATTTTGCTTCATCGAAATTTAAATCTTTATCGTCACCGACGCGAGGACTACCGGGATGCTTCTTTATGCCACCCTGTATATAAATTATATACAATAAACACGGCAGTGATATACATATATTTACATGTCCTTGCCATTCACTATTTTCTATGATATTCGCTGTTCGCAATTTTATCTATGGATTCTTCGAGCTAGGATTTGTTTCTCGAATAAACTTCAACGTTCGATTTATCATTTAATTATCGTCTCGACATTCTACTTTATTTCTCAAAAAGAAAACATCGACAAAATGTATTTAACAACGGTTACAGTCGTTCTCGTTAAACAAGAGGCGTGATTGCTCACGCCATCATTCTGTACAATATATGTCTTGCAACGTCTCTGTTTAAAAGACGCATCTAGCTAATCAATCTGGCGAATTGCGAAAAAGTACACGAATTCAATATTCACTGTCACGTCGGCCTATTGAAATATACAACATTTCGGTCTCGATAAAAGAATAGGAAATAATATGACCGCTGCAAATTCATATATAATTCATTATAATCGAAAATAATTGAGAAAATTTACAATTATTCAAGTTAAAAAAGAAACCAAGATTTATTTCCTCTCCTTTTTATTGATTTTACGAACGTAATAAGCGCATAAATTACATAATATTGCATGTTTGTTATAAAAAAAGAAATTTTAATCATAAAAAGTTTCTTGGAGGAAAGTAGATAAAATTTTTTAAATAACGTATTTAAAAATTTTGAATGTCTTCGTGAAAATTTTGGTGTTCTCTCGAATAAACGTGAAGGAATTTGATTAAAATCGTTTACAAGAATTCGTTCCTCTAAAAAAAAAAAAAAAGTAAAAATATTAAATTAGATGCAAAGTGACTATCGAAATGTTTCTCTTTTCTAATGAAAATTAAATGTGCAATTATTAGCTTTTGATTGCTATATACGTATATATGATTATCCAATTTCTCCGCTAGAAAATAACAATTAAAAATAATCTCTCTTTATACGTACAGCGACTTTTTTATATACCGCATTATCCTACAAAGTTAATTTATATTATTTTGAGGAGTGAAAGCTGCCTTCCTCTAATTCACGGTAAAAAAGACGCAAATGATGACGAAGATTCTCTTACTTTCACAACATTTTAATCACGCGAAATTTGATTTGATTAAAATGTTGAAAATTAAAATGTTTATCGAATATTGAATGTAGCAATTAATAACGTGGACTTTATCTTTGCGAATATAAAGCAATAGAGAATTATAACTCTATAAACTCTATAATTCTACAAAGAAGATTTTTAATGTTGCAATGGTTAAAAATCACAAGAAATTGATATTTAAATTATTTGTAATATTAATATTATAAAAAGATAATATATTAATAATACATTAATTTATTTCATGAAAGCTTATGTATACATATAAGCTTATAAGTAATTTTTTTTTCATTCCAGATTTCATCTCTGACATATTTGACTTGTAATAAAAAAATCACTATGCAGAAAGAGAAGGACTGTGTTTGTAGATGTATTATATTTTATTTTCCTTGTGAAACAGAATAATCTTAATTGCTTCATAAAGAAAAAGACAGAAAGAATTGACAAGTACATTACGAGTACGGTAAATCATAAATAAAATATTTATTGGTGAAAGATTAGAGATCTCTCAATCATTTGCGTAATTCTTCCGCGCGATTTATATGGAGCATCTTTAGAAAAATAAAGGAAAACGCGAATTGTCACGTTTGTTTGCTTTAAAATGGGCATTAACCTTGCGGCTAGTTAGTAAATTACGCACGATTATATTTTCTCGCACGACGTATTAATAGAATCGATTAAATCTATGACGTGTCTACTATCCAGAAATAGTTATTTTGTAATAATAATAATTACTCTTTTTTTATAGTCTATCAAAATATTCATCACAGTGCTACGGACACAAAGATTGTGTTCTGGTTTATGTATATATACATATATATGTGTAAATAATCATTTTTTTTTACTCCCGGGAAAAACCGACGAGTTCCGGTCCGAGTCGCTCGCGTTCGTTTTCGCATTTCGAATCGCAAGGAAGAAAAAAAAAAAAGCAAATCACAATTACGCAAATCACAAAAATCACATTTCGTTTTCCGGGAAAAGAATTTTGATTTCTTTCTCTCTTGGGCTTTTCTTTTCTCTTTGTTAGAAATTACAATGATTCGTTGTAGAACCATGAAATAACGCATGAATAACTTTGTACTTTCATTGCACATATCATTCAATCACAACACGTTTTGATATTTCTCGATTTTATCTTTCATCGGAACACGAGACCGAATTCGTCGATGTTTTTCCACGCTCATATCACTTTTTTTTCGTTTAAACGTAGAGTGCTACACACACACAATGGCAGTATATATATATATATATATCATCCTGCTTAAAAATTCTTACTCAACTTACTCTCTACGCGTGACTATATTTACAGCAATAAGTTGAGAAAAATGGCCTCTCAACGAGATCGTCCAGCTTGCGATAAACTCCATAAAATGAAATGGTTGCCAGCATGCACTATAGCAATAATTACAATAGATGCATAGGACAAAGAAAGTAACTCGAATTCCTAATGCGAGTTTCAAGTCGATTGATTTTTCATTTTCATGATTATTGGACACTAGATCGAAAATAGAAAGACTAATCGATTTAATTTAATAGAATTTTCGAATTATATAAATATA